GGCAAAGAGAAGGACCTGACGATTTTGTTCATACATTCAAACCAACAATGAAGGCAGAAACAATTAAGAAATCAAATATTGAAGAAAGTTATTTTAATTTAAACAAATCATAAATTATTATGAGCAGCAAGGGTGATGAAGAAAAATATTAATACAAAAAAAAAAAGCGCGTTTTGAACCTGTGCATGAACATTTGAACAATTTTACTTCTGTCGTGTTCATGGAGTTTGGATTGTGTGTGTTGTTACATATTTGTAATTTGCTTGTAAATTATTTGTAGTATTCATTTTCTCATGTTATTGGAGAAGACATAAGTTGCATACTTGGCACTCATTTATTCATGTTACATGGCTGGCCCTGACACATGAATAAAATCTGTGTCTGACCGACATGTGACATTCCAAATTAGCATACAAGTATGATACAATCGTATTTGAATATTCATCAATCCAAATTAACATACAAGTATGTTACAATCTATAGAGGAACTGTGGTACAATCTTATTTGAGTATCTGAGCAACTCAAGTAACAACAAAAAAGACAGTGTAATTGAAATATTCAAAACACCACACATGATCACTGGGATGATTTGTAACAACAATCGCAATTTGTATATGGCTCTATCACTGAATTATTTTCCAACAGAAAAAGAAACGATCTCTCAGGAAACCAGCTTGTATGGCCTCACGATAACCTTAATGCCTTGGAGTAACTGAGAGGGCATTACTTATTGTGTTTGATCAAACAAGAGAGTTTTAATAAATTATATGCAGCAACAACTGTCACCATTTGATTGGCACAGAGCAAGAATAGGGCTATGAAACATAGAACACGCTTTGGTTCAGAACACACTCATACATATAACATAGTTTCTAAAGAAATAAAGCAGCAGGGTTTACATATATAAATATCAATATGGCCTGATTTCACTAACATTATAGGAGCCTTATTCATTTTGGGGGTATCATGCGGGCACGCAAGTTATTCCATTTTATTACCCAGAATGCAATTCAAGGGAAACACTTGCTCATCGACAATATCTCTCAGCAAACTCACTCATAATCATGCAGACTAAAAAAAAATTTGTCCATGAAAAAAAAACCTTCAAATTACAAATCTTACAACAGAGACTGGAAAATTTAACCTTCTTGATTTTTTTGGTGAAAAAAAAAAAAGAAGCTGAAAAAAATCAACCTTCATTCATTCATTTACTGAATAAAATACAGTTATTATATAATTCTATTACTAGAATACAATAGATTTTACAACATGAAATTGCATTTAAAACTGCTATATGTTTCTAAAAATGACTTCAAAAACTATGAAATTAGACAGCTTTTACAAATAAAAGTTGCAGTTAAGCAATTGGCAGAGTAGCAGCCATCTTGTCATTGAAACTGGTGAGAGCTAATTTCATTTTACAGGAACGATGTCTTTTCCGTCAATACAATATTCAAATGTTACATTACATGCTTAAGTTATAACTAAATCCTTGAGTTTCAAAAAGACACTTCTCTACAAAGTTTAAACACTGAAGACATTTTTTTTTTCATTTATATAGGAATTTTTCCAAAAAAACTTCTTTGGTAAACTTTAAACTTGTTCAATTTAACACTTACTCACACATCAATCATACCATTTCATAATTTTTGTTTTTGAAGTATTCATTGGCAATTTAGTTTGTTTGGAAATGGATTGCATGCCAACTACCGAAAAATTGTGCGGTAGATTAATCGAAACATACAACCCACAATTCATTATTATCCTGAATATAAGATTGCCAATTGAATTAATTTCACACAGAAACTCTTGAGATAAGTAAACGAATATATACGCTGAGCCTTCAAACTTGACGTACAATTTGTAAACTCACACACAAGAAAACAATGAACATTACATTCAAATATAACATTACATAAAAAATTATGAGTGGAAAAAAAAAAAAACAAGAAGAACCCACATGCAGTGCTCAGTAATTTATTTGTAGCCATTTAGAAAACAAATCAGCTAAACTTTTTAAAAATTCAATGGTCTGAAAACAATATTTTCTTCTTTTTTTTTACTTTTTAATCTTTCATTCTGGACAACAAACACCAACGACATTTATGCGTTTCTATTCAACTTCTAGGTTTTCACTCGGAGTAAATCTCACACTCATTATTTTTTAAAGAAATCAATATCGGCTTTCACACAGTTGCCGGTAGCAACATCTAATGCACTAACTTTGATTTCTGTATCCCCAAACAACATGGTAATTTGTATTTCCCGTCTCCTTGGCAACTGCATGTAGGTGGAATCAGACATATCAATATGCAAGGTACCACACTTTTTAACCCCCTCATCAGTGAGGTACCGCACCCGCTGCTTGTCGCTGCAGTACATGTTAATTACTGTTGACTTCTGATTAGGCTTGGCCGGTGTGTAGCTACGAGTAACAAACTCCCCAACCGCTATCGGTTGGTCACATAATGTAAACGTATCGAAAATATCAGAACACCACTCAACCTCATCTTTAACAATTAACTTTTCCTCAGGGTGCTTTCCCCTTATAAACTTATTCAGAACCCCCACACCGTAGGTCAAAGGAGATCGTCGAACACGCACAACATTAGGATCAATGCCATATAGTACGGCTCCCTTTAATATCGTAAGCCCCACGTCTTGTGGAATAATGACACGTAACTTGTCCTTGAAAGACTTTCGGATTTCTTCCTGAAGGAGTGGTGATTCAGCAAATCCACCAACGAGGAAAAGATAGTTAACATGATCCAGACTCGGTTTCTGCAGGACAAGCTCAATTTCTTGTCGGATATGGTCTAAGGTTGGTAAGAAGAGTCGCCGCATTCCTTCGGGCGTAAATCTAAGCATACCTGGAACTCAAGATTGAAATTAAAGAGAATCTCTTCTAAATGGAGTAAAAACAATATTCCCAGTTGGTATACTACAACAAATTCACCAAAACAATATCAGTTCTGGATTTTTCAATTTTAATTGATCAGTGCTGTATTACAAATTTATTGTTGCTTATAATATGTAAAATTGGTTTGTCAAATTACTGTATCATATTCAGCTCTTTATGCTTTACAAAATTCTTAATTGCATAAACTGACATAATTTATGAGAATGTTAAAATGATATGATGCCAAGAAAATTAAAAACAAATTTTTGTTTCATATTTTTACATTTTTATTTGAGTAGTGTTTATACAGGGTTATTTTCAGATGACTAGTATGAAGGGTGAGTGACAGAAGAACAAAGTTTCTTTTTATTAATAAAGAGAAATTTAATGTTTATTTGCCACCACAAAAAATCTATAAGTTGTTTTAATAGTGTTATGTTATGTTATGTTGTGCTATTCTATGCTATGCTATGCTATGCTATGCTATGCTATGCTATGCTATGCTATGCTATGCTATGATGTGCTATGCTGTGCTGTGCTGTGCTGTGCTATGCTATGCTTTGCTATGTTATGCGATGTAATGCAATGCAATGCTGTGCTATGCTATGCTATGCTATGCTATGCTATGCTATGCTATGCTGTGCTGTGCTGTGCTATGCTATGCTTTGCTATGTTATGCGATGTAATGCAATGCAATGCTGTGCTATGCT